CAAGTGTAGTGGTAAATTGGATCATAACTATGAAGTAATCTCTATAATAAAGCATCAGGTTTTTTAAGGTGAAGTGGAAAATGAAGAAATGAAGTGGCAATGTTCAATGTGTGATGAAGTTTGTACAAGCGGAGGAGCACTTATTGACCATGCTCTCGATAGACACAATATTCGTCTGCTAAAGAATGGCACTGAATAAAACATCCCCTTTTGTACCTGCTGTGAATTTTGGTGTTTCATTAAAATTCAAGGAATCCATCCTGTTTGTTGTTGTGTACTTCTGACCAGCTTTTTAAGAATTTTTGCTCTTTATGTGAAAATAGGTGATTTATATGTGTTTGTTCTGTACTTATTTTCCTGGTCTCAACATTAGGCAAGATCCGGTGTTCAGGAAATTTGCATAAGAAAAAGGATTGATAGTGGGTTGTCATTTTGGTTTTTTAAGACATGGAGAGAAAAATTTCTGCTGAAGACGAAAATGACTAGCTTGATGCTTCGGTCCATCACCCAAACTACTTCACAAATTCCTTCCATGTGTTTCAATCGTTTGTCGTTCACTTTATATATTTTCCTTTGTCCGTACAACTCGTTTTGTATTGATTGTTGAATAATCCATAATTTAGTATTTGTTTTCAAATTTCAGTTGATAAAGCGTCCCACTTTTATTGAGTATTCTTTCCCTTATTGACGTATTAGACTGAAGAGAAAGTTATATGTGAGCACTTTCTCCAGATGGTTTGAAATCTTGTGCATGCATGCAATACTGCACAGCTTTGCATCTAGTTTATAGGTTTCCTTTCAAAGGACAATCTCGAGGTTAGAAAAACAACTGCATAGTTAACGGAGTTCCGGCTGACTCGTCGGCCTTTCTTAATCCTAAGGTTGTACAATTTTCAACAGCTATCAACAGTTAGATAATTAGCTTACTTTAGGTATCAGCCATCCTCAGCTTGTTTCTGTGCACTTTGTTATCACTATCCAGTGTGGCGTCATTCGAAGAAAAGTCCAGTTTATTTAAGTCGATAAAATGAAGAAAAATTCGTGAATGGTAGCGGTATGGCTATGTAAAAAAAACCATAAACAACGGTGATGTCAGAATATCACAAGTGCTACACAACGGAAAGCATAAAAATATATGCAGAACGATGCAGAAAACGGGGTGGAAGTGAATCACTTATCGAAACAGCATAGAAAGACTATCGTGAAATGGTTATTGAGACTATGGTCCAAATTGTTTTTTAAGCTAATAAAGAGGGAACTGAAACTGATCACAACTAACACCTCCAAATTGCAACTTTGAAGAAACAAAGCCTGTTTCAAAAAGAAATGAAAGGGAGTCATTGAATTAGGTAGGCAAGAAGACTAAACAAGTCTGTCCAGGAAATTTTGTTCAAATCGCTTTCAAAATTTAATCCGAAGATCGTGGTACTAGGGCTAAAAAGATTAACATGAAGTAAAAGGTTTCAGGTGTGCCAATACGGTACTTCATATTCCATTGTGAAGCAACCACGATTCAGAGGTATTAAAGAGTGGATTTTCAATAGCTATAAAGTAACAGACTGCAGCGACAGGGAAAAGTTGTATTTCAGTACCTCAAAATATTGGGGAAAAAGTGAACGAAGAGTAATTAAAGTATATGAACAATGAATGAACCGATGAAGTACTATGGGACAGTTTAATAATTACAGTTGAAAAATTTGTCAAAGATTTCGGGGAGATGAAATAACCCAATAAAACTTGCATATAGATGCACAAACTTCAATTCAGATCAAAGCCTTCGAGCTATTCATAGATAAAATTGATTTGAATAACTGAAATCGGTCCCCGGAACCTACAAAACAAGTTATTGGATAAGTAAAGAGGGGTTACGATGGATAACAGAAAGCTGCAAACTTAAATCTGATGGCAGACCAAGGATATAACATATGACTAGGCTTCTAAATGCTAACTGACGAAGAAAACCCTACCCATTGTGAATCCTGTATGGCTCATGAAATATTTTAGAGCTAAAAGAAATTTTGAAAAATTCATAAATCTAGATTTTAAACGAATCTTCATTCAGATGGAGGAGAGGAAGGTTCGTCATCATAGGGAGCATCGGTAAAGTTATTGCGACTCTGCTCTCCACGTGGATCCATTTCTGCCGCCAAACTAAAGTTTAACAACGCTAGATGTGTATCACCAAGCTTCTTATGCACGCGACCCAAGAGGAAAAATACCTGAAAATTCCTTTTCATAATTAAGATCAATGAAACTTGATCCGAGCATTCCAGTACCAAGAATTTTAATGATAAAAATGGTAACCCACGCCTATTTATGTACCTCTAAGCTTCACGACTGAGTCAAAGTAGAAATGTTAAAGGAGAATATTTTAGTTAACTCCACTTTCAATTTGGAAATTTTGGAAATGTTATTTATTTTTATCTTCTGGAAATGTTAACGATGTCGTTCTAGCTATGAACTGTCTTGGCCATTCATAATTTCTTTTTGATAGTTCACTGTTATTGGAATCAACAAAGCGATAAAGGGATAAAACTGAATGTTACATAAGATTTGGTAAATTCCAATTCCACTGTCAGTAGTAAGCAAGCAATAATGTGCTCATGCACTTCCTTTCGAGAATTGCAAAGGAAGAAGAAAAGTGGCCAAATATCATGAAAAGTCTAAATATGAACGTAAATCCGTAAAGAAAACAACAAACCTGCGCTTCATCATGAGCAATAAGTTTTAGATCATTTAACTCCTCGAGACATTGAGCATAATCATGCATTTCATACAACAAACGAGCACGATAAAATCTGCAAGCAGCATTGTCTGGTGAAATCTTCAACGCGTTCTGTAACAGTTCCATTGCCTGTAACACACTTCACTTTATCTCATTACATATAACATTCACCACTCCTACTAATTTACCACCATACGAACTATACCTATCTCCATGACTTAGGGTATACCGTGTGTTATGCCTACTACACCCTTCATTTCAGTTTTCCTTCCGTTTTTCTGTCTTCCGGAAACCTGTTGGTTAGTAAGCGTCGCATATCATTAAATCTTTCGTCTTTTACAACAGAAACATCCTTCCAAACTACAACTTTTCTAGCGTCCCCGGTCTCCCCGGCTTACACGTACTGTTTTAGCTCGTATATCATAGTATAATTGTCTTATTAGTCTGCTATCGTTGAAATCGCGAGAAGCAGTGAATCAATTGCTTTGATACGGTTGGTATAAGGTATTGTATTATAGATATACTGTGCAATGTAAACTGATATTGTGCATCCACTGTTTTATGTCTTCTGATAATAATAATTTTTGTGACCCCAGAAGTGACCTCAAAATTGACCTCGGAACTGACCTCAGAACTATCCCAGAATCCGCCCA